CTTTTACAATTAAACCAATTTTTATAATATAACTTACTATATTTTATCTTTTGTTGCACATTATGATTTCACCACTAACTATTTTTATTTAGAGAAATATTTTTTATTTTCCAAATACATCATTTGCTAATTATTTAATATTGTTTGTTACTCTGTCCCACAAAGCGTTTGCTTCATCCTGAAAATCCCAAATTTTGAAATCTTGAATTTTACTCATAAAAATAATTTTATTTTTCTTTTAAGTCCACCCATCTAATTCTACAATGATGAGTCCTAGTATTATTTATTTTACAACTCTTTATCATAAAATTTAGAACTAATAAACGATGTTGGGTACTTGAATCTTCACTTGGAATAACCTTAAATTCCTACAATCTCAACGATTTCTTATTCTCATAAGAAAATAATCATTTTGTGTTTTATTAGACTCATTCTTATAGTAATAAGATGCTCATCTCTTTTATTGAATAAAGTATTAGTAATAACAAAATCATTCGCTAAAGCAAAATCTAAAAAATCTAAAATAGCTCAGCTCTACCTTCTTCATTAGTCACTCCAAAATTGTAGCCATCATGAATATTTCCAAAATCTTTTACTACTTTATCGACATGTTCATTTAAATCTCCTCTAATAAAATTTTTTTCTTCAAAAGGTGTCATTTATATCAAGTCTTCTAAGTCATTCCAGAATTTATCTTTAGACTCTATATATAAGCATATTTGAGGAGCATAAGCATTTATAATATTAAAAATTTTAGTATCAATGATAATCTTAAGGGCTATAGTTCTATCTCCAACTCTATTAATTTTTACAACATGATCTTTCAAACTCTTATCTAATTACTTCTTTACCCGTATCTGTCGGTAATGTGGGAACCCTTGCTTATTTAACACTGGCGGCTCTTGCACACTTTTCATTGTATTCAAGCTATAAAGCGCGTCGCTTCCAGGGGATGTCCTAGCACTTGCACCTAAATCCAACATAAATTAAATTTGTACCTAAAAAGTCTATACAACTCCCAAAACTATGCAGTGCAAAATTGTACAGATCACACATGACTACTCGTCCTCATGTTTGTTGCTCTTACCTAAATGACAATAACATAAAGTGAGCAACAATGAGCTTAGAGAAATAATTAAAGCTAAAATAAGATTTTGTATATGAAAAAGAAACGTGCATACTCATATGAAACTGTAAATCTCTACACACAAGTCATGGAGAATCCTTTCGTACCATCTTTCTAAAAGTTAAAGCTAAAGAGAATATGATAGACTAATTTAAATGCTTTGGGTGAAGATATAGAAATGAGTTCCAAACAAAAAGTGATAGAAGGCTCTACCCAATAATGGAAATGAGAGGAATGTTTTAACATGCCCATCAAGAATTCACTAATATAATATGAGCGTCAAGAGAAGAGTATAAAGTAATCTTCTTCTAATGAATTTCTTGTGATGATATGCCTAGGGTCGACAACCAATAGAGTAGCCACCATTCAATTGTAAATCAACTAAAAAATTTTTGACTTATTTATTTGTTATGCCTACCGATTGAAAATTTGTCAATATATGAAGGTGAGAGAGGCACTTAACAAGCATATATATTTCTTCATCAAAAAAGAAAAGAACATGCTCGCATTGAAAAGGAAAATGCAATTTATGTTGGTAGTTTGTTGAAGTTTGATGAAAGTGAATAGAAGGATTGTTTTATGGAGAGGTAAGATTATCTTTATGTATTCAAATCATGAATCACACTCGAAAGAGGCTTGAAGGAAGAGGTGAATGGGGCTTAATCGCTGAAGAAGATAAAAGAGAAGCCTGTAAGACATTAGGGGCTATGATTAGAGGCAATGGTGATCTTACAGGGTAGTTAATAAAGGCCCTTTGCGAAGTAAATATATGTGGAGGTGGGATACCAAAAAACATTGAGGAATAGGGAATGCAGAAGGAACCCTAACCAAAGGCAATGGAAGTGATCAAGACGTCCATGATCATGAGAAAGTTAAAAGCCTACTTGACGTAAAAGAGAAGGAAAAGTCAGAGTGACAGGAGCTTTCCTAGGAAGGCAACACACTGATGACATGAGATGGCTACGGTGTCAAAAGTAGCTTACAAAAGGGCTTACCAAAGGGCTTACCAAAGGGCTTACCAAAGGGCCATATCATGTATCCAATGAATACATGATCAAACTTGCGTGGAATTAATCGCGCGGCCATATTTGCACATAAATACATGTGAAGACAGTCGACGTTGTGCAAAGATGATCATGGAAATGATTGTGCAGATGATTGTCTTGTTTTCCGGAGACAAATGCATGAAAAACTTGAGTAATTTTGAAGATGATGAAGAGACTATGATTGGAATCTATGATCTCGGGGAGGGGCGGACAATTTGATAGGTTCTTTAGGTCGTTGATTCCCTCGATGCCTTAATTCAGCAAGCTTTTGATGTGATTTCTCCACTTCTTTAGACATCATTGATCTCATTAGTGTCAACTCTAGCAAGCCCCTATTGCATTTTTTAAGTCTTTGTAAGACAACACATGTTCCATTGATGGCTTGTCCAGTAAGCTCCTTACATGACTCTCATTTCTTTACTCTTCAGAGTTTCAAGATGGAGACGAAAGAGAGAAAATGAGAGGGGATATACGATGTAAGAGAAAGAGCTAGCCTACGAGCTTTTTTGTTTTTTGTTTTTTTCCTTTCTTTTAGAGGGTGGATTTCTTTTCTTATGTGAGGCACCGGTATGAGTGAACAGGGAGATTAAAAAGCACAGGCCATCTTTTCCTTTCATTATTCTTTATTTTATTTTGATTTTTGGTCAATATAGAGATCCCACACTTAAATTGTGAGGATGTCCTTCATACTTTGAATAGAAGAAAGGGTCTTGAATTATGAAAAGGGCCACCCAATCTTGGATTTAAATGGCAAGGGTTGGAAAAGCCCAAACAACGAACTTATGATTTTGATTCTACATAAAAATTATGTGAAATAATCATATGATTCATGCAGAGTGGCAGGACTCATTTTATGATCTTGCACCTTATAAACCACTTGATGTGTTCTACTTGTTTAGGTCACTATAGATTGATGTGAAATATAAATCTAATAAATAATATTTTTCATTTTGTAATCTTAAGGGTCAAATTCATTCTCATTTTTAAGAATTTTAAATGAAGTATCTAATGTTTGAGTAATATTCAAGGCTTATAGGTATCCTAGCTTAACATTATTTTCGTTTGCATTATTTTGTTACTATTATTCTTTTCACTATTGATCTTATCGAGAAAGTAGGGATGAACTATGTTATTATTATACTATTATTTAGTATGAATGCCCCCTTAGAGATGAGCTATAATTTTAATTAACCAAAAGCACTCTACTTATGTTCTACGTACCTTTAAATGCTGAAGGAATATTACAATTACTCTCATCTTAAGACTTATCCTCTTGTATTTATTCTTAATGATATCTTAGGAACATCTCATCAAACGCCTATAAGCATTGGAGTTGGCAGGTCTTCCAAGACATGCCTTTAATGACTATCTGAAATGGTTTGGGACAGGACTGAAAGACTGTGCACATGACAAGTTTTAAGTTTGATCAAAGAACTTAAAGACATTAAAACTGTAGAATTTTGTAAAGTTGAAAAAGCTTACTTTCTGAAAATATAAAATTATAATTTAGTTTAGAATGGAGCTTCTTAGAAAAAAAAAATATAGTTCAAGGAAAAATATGTGTCAACTTGATATTATAAAAATTGAGTTAAGAACAATGTCTTGTAAGCTTCGGCAATACTCTTTCCTGCTTATAGTTTTTTGAAAACCATGTTATTAACTCTGAATAAAAAGACAATAGAAAAGAAATAACATCATGTTCCTCTTTATCAGTACATCCTTATGTTTAATTCTTTTATTGCCATGTATAGTAAAGAAAAGGTTTTTTGTATGTTTTTTAACTTCTAGTTATCAGTTTATTATGTTAGCTAAAGAAAAGGTTTTTTATATGTTTAATTCTTTTTTTGCCATGTATAGTAAAGAAAAGGAAAGAGTATCTGTCTAAATTATGCTTTTTATTCATTTTGACAGTATCATCAGAATATTTTTGTTAATGATGATTGTAAATTTTGGTGCTGCTCCATAAAGATGTATGTGTTATGTACTATGAATATATTTGTTAAGCCAGAGACTCGAGTATTACTCATTTCTGTTTCTTATATTCCTCGTCAGATATTTAAGGTCTCATGTGTACGTTTGAAGTTGCTGGACTCTTATCTTTATTTCATTTTAAGTTCCATTATATTATGATTTCTTGTTGTGGGTCTGTGTATTTTGATTTGTTTTGTCATAGATTTTTTTTTATTAAAGTAAAGCGTTCCAGTTTGCACTGTTATGTTAATATAACCAAAAGTAAAGCGGTAATTGCATTTCAGAACCTACTAGTAACCCATGGTTAGTAAAGTATCCTTCTAGATTACAGTTTAGCTGATAAAATTGCTGGCATTATATTAAACTTTTAATGGTAGGCATGAACTTGCTTGAAGGATACAACATTCATTGAATTGAAATGTGTGGTGATGATGTTAATTTCTGTTTAATTTTTTGTAGACTTATGAACTTAAGGAATATGTTTTCTATAATATGTTTTTCATCTTAAAGGATAATAGGTGGCTTTCTTATGTTGAATGCATCTTTTAGACTAGAATGTCAATGATCATCCAGAAGTTGTCGTCAGCTAACATAATACATTAGAACTGTATTGAAGTAAATTTTACTAAAGGCTATTTGGTTTTAGCTTTTAGGTTCCACGTTATTGTTTGTAGACTTAATTATCAATCTATCCTCATGTTTATTTCTTTTATTGCCATATATAGTAAAGAAAAGGTTTTCTGTATGTTTACTAACCTCTAGTTATCAATGCCTTTCATTTTTAATGCTTTGAATATTTATGATTTATATTTTCATTGATAACACTTTTTTTCTTATTATGCTTTTGTATTCACCAGAATGGTGCTTTATTGAGAAAGTGTACGTACCTGAGCAATGACAGCAGCTACTCAATTTCTGAGGATGATGGTGTTGAGATTTCTTTCCTGGATAAGGATACTTTTGAGACAGATGGAGAAGGATCAAAACCTAGTGAAGACAGCATAAGGGATGCAAATACTTTTGATGTTGAATTAACAAATGTATCTAGTCAATGTCAAAACTTCACATTTGAAGCTCAGGTAATCTCATTTTGTATATTATGTTTACTTATATATTTCTGTTAATGAATGAAATATTCAAGTTCAGTTGTTCTCATGCTTGTACTTCATGACTGGGAAAAATAAGATACTTGGCATGCACAACTTGTATCAAAAGGGAGATCACTCAATTAAGCTTGCAACAGAATTTAATTTATCATCCAAATCATCGTAAGAAGTGACTGTATTTGTAGATATTCGAGTACAAAGAAATGAAATATTTGAACTAACACGATTTAATACTAAAAATTATTTAAATCCAAACCTAATGTTTTTTGAAAGAAGGTAATGCAATCTAATAAAATGAATCAAATAAAAATACGAGATAATTTTGGTGAAAAATATAATTGCTTTTTAAATTGCTTGAAACTCACCTATAGAAATATATCCATAATCCAATGGAAAAATCTGCCGATAATATCATTTTCACCATGTCCATTCAAAGAAAATTTTCCACATACTGTTTGATGAAGAGTCTTGGCAGTCTTACGACAGGAAAACATTTTGATTCTGTTTTTGTAAAATCCGCCCAATTTTTCTAACACCGATTCCATCCAAAATTTAAAGCAATTTCATAAGAACATAGCAGCCCTTTATAAGTGTGTTAATAATCAACATTATACACTTTCTAAATCACATTCTAGCATTTAATAATAATAATTCAACATGAATGTAGTTGAATTATAGTAAACAATGATGTCGGCAAGGCTCGAATTTCTAGGAAGATCCACCACCACTTCTCAACGAGTTGCAAGCACGCTAGTTGCAAGTGGAAGAGGTTATCACTTAAAATAGCAAAATATAGTGGAAGATATGTCCAAATAACAAAACTCAAAACAAAGTAAAATCATGTTCTAAGTAATTTAATCACACTATAACATAAATTACCTCTAATTTTGATTAAGTAAAACCTAGATATGGGTTCCACAAGGCCTGGTACTAGCTCCTGAGCAGGAAAGATCCCACTATGGTATTTTTTGAGTCTAAAATTTCTCCTTGCCTTTTCAAACCTTGCGCACCTAGTGGGAAATAGCAACTACTTCACTTTCTCTGTGTAGAAGAGGCTTCACCTACTTTTATGAAAACTTTTGATTCCTCATATCATAATGACTATGTTAAAATAATACTTAATAATAAAAAAAATTACCTAAGGGATGGTTCAGATGGTTGTGTCACTTCGAACTAACCTCTCAATAGTTCTTTCTTAAGAATGAATGTCCCATTTAAAAAGAACGACAGCGACGAGCAGGGGAGAGAGGAAGAGGGGTAAGGTCGAGAGCATAAGAAGAAGAAGAAAAGGGAAAGCGGTAGAAACCCTAGCCAAACTTCATGTAAAAGATGAGCCAAGGAAATGAGTCATGTGTTTGTCTTATATGAGAGTCGTCGCCATACCCTAACTTTGCGAAGGAAGAGAGGAGGCAATAACTTAGTTCTTCAAGACAAAATTAAGCCCTAGACTTTGATGCCAAATGTGAAGCACAGAAAATAAGGGAGATCGTGCAGTCATGGTTGTGGCAATTTCACATGCGAGGAGCGAAGCCGAGGAAGAAAGAGCGATGTAGTTTTCATTGGGAGAAGTGGAACCTATCGAACCTCACGTGGAGAGGAGGAAGAAGGCGAAGCACTCGCCATGTGGGTTGAAGTCGAGCCACCCTCAAGGGAAGAAGAAGAGGGAGGAGGCGGCTTGTGCGTGAGGGTCAGAGGCAAAGCTTCACCGTGAGCCCAAAGGGTTTATTAAGGTCACCTTATATTTATGTCACATTATTGCTTGAATTTTAAAACTCTAGTAAATGTGTATAGATTAGTTTATTTCATGACAAAAATATTATAAGATTGCATTTATTTATCAATAGAAAAAAAATTTAAGTATTAAGAGCATTAATTGGTCAGTAGATAGAGTTAAACTATTTCATGTTAAAGGAATCCATGATATGAAACAATGTAGTAGTGATTTATGAATGTTTGTATGTGCTTGAAAGAGAAGTTCACCCGCTTATGGTGCAGACAAGGGATACGATTGTACTTGCGAGGGTAGATGTTTTCATACTACCCAGACAATTGTAAAATTAGATCACTAAATTAGACACATTTTCAGCTAAAACAATCATGTAAATTAGATCACGAATTGATGTATCTACACGATAATATCGTTTAGTGGCATGTTATTGTTATTTTTTTACTGTGCTTTTAAGACAGATATGAATGTTAATAGTATAAAGTAAAAGTAAAGTTAAGATTAAGCCTTGAAGGATACATTCTCATTGAGTAATATCATGGACACATAAATTAGATTGTTATAAGATCTCATCTAGTAATATACGAATGATCAGCATGCGTATTATTTTATTTTCTTGGGTTACAGTAGTTTAGAAGTGTGATTGCTCGTTGGTTATTTTTAAATAACCCATTATGTTACTTTAAAACTTTTTTTTTTATGTTTTGATCTTTTGAATTAGATAAATAGAAGAGGAGCTAATATGTACATGATGAGAGAACAACAATTGAAATGGTAAAACTTTTACTTCTTAATTACTCTATAATTTCTTTTACACTGAATATGATTTGCCAGAAATTAAAACTTTTGAAATATCGTGCAATCTAATAATTTCTTTTACATACAATTTGGTCAGATTTTTCACTAAATCTGTCTGTCTGATTGGCAATAAAGTGAACTGACTTTGTTAGCCTGTCAATAATAACTCAAATATTGTTGTCACTATCTGGATTGAGAAAATCTCATAACAAAATTCATAATTTCTTTCCATTTCCATTCATGTATTGGCAACAATTGTAGAAATTCGTTGGGCCTCTGATGTTAAACCTTTACTATCTGACATGTTTGACATTGAGATACGTATTCAACAACATTTTTCTTCATACCTAACCACCAGACTATCAACTTCAAATCTTTATACATCTTTTCTTTGCCTAGAAGAATTGTATAGCTTGAATGATGAGCTTCATCTAGAATTTTCTGTCTCAAATTAAAATCAACGGGTACCCATAATTGTAGTTTATATCTGATAATATCATCTTCGTCAAGAGTCATATCAGTCCTTTTTTCTAATATTGTTTCAAGATTTTTGGATATTCACTATTATCTTTTTGAGCTGATTTGATTCTATCCATCAAAGTTTTGCATGTTAGTTGATGTATATACACCATGTCACCAGACAAGCAAACTTCCAAATGTGAAACATTAATTTTTTTAATCAGCTCTGGCCTTTAAATAAGAATCTAGCTTGAACTACCTGTGGATTTACGGCTTAATACATCCACAATTACATTTGTTTGGCCAAGACAATACTGTATATCCAAATCATAGTTTTTTATCAGCTCTAACCATCTTCACTGCCTTAAATTCAATTTTTTTTGTGTGAAAGTGTACTTCAAACTTTGATGATAAGTGAATATTTCACATTTCAGTCCGTACAAATAATGTTGCCAAATCTTGAAAGTAAACAACAACAGCTAACTCTAAGTTATGTGTTTGGTTATTATTTTCATGTTGCTTCAAATGTCTGGATGCATAGGCTATCACTCTTTTTTTTCAATTGGAACGCATTCTAAGCCTCTTAATGATGTATCATTGTGAATTTGGAATCCTTTTGTGCTTGATGGAAGAGCTAACATTGGTGCAGTGGTCAAATATTTCTTCAGCTCTTGAATATTGTGCTCACATTCTACGTTCCACTCAAACTAAACATCTTTTTTTATCAGCTTGGGCAATGTCAAGTTATCTGTGTAAAACCCTTGACGAATCTCCTATAATATCCTAACTAAGAAAGCTGTGTACCTTCATAACATTCTTTGGAGTAGGTCAGTCCACAATTTTCTGCACCTTCTAAGGATCTATTAAAATTCTTTGATAGTTGATAATGTGTCACAAAAATGCCATGCTTAGCAGCCAAAATTCACATTTCAAAATTTTTCCATATAACTGATTTTGCCTCGGCAGCTCCAAAAACATCCTCAAATGTTTGGCATGATCTTCATTGGTTCTTGAATAAATCAGAATATTGTCAATGAAAATAATAACAAATTGATCCACATGCATTTTGAAAGTTCGGTGCATCAAAATTCTATTCATCTAATCATTTCTTAAAAGAGCTTCTCAGCATAAATTCGTCCTTCTGAAACCGCCTATTTCTCTCCCCAACTTTTCCTAACACCTTATTTTTTCACTTTCCCTTCACTAATATCGTACAAAACCCCATATGGAAGCTTTCAATTTATTTTCAACACTTCTGATATAATTTTGACGCCTCGGATGGCTACTGAAAAGGAAAAATGCACAAAGACGAGGCAAACGTCAAAACAAAAGTGACAGGAAAGAAAGGAATATTTCTAATGATGCTAAAATTAGTTTCATACCTTTTGTTGTTACATTGAAACCTCAATTCGAGAGCTATGGCTCTCGGGCTTGCGCGCGGTTCGCGCCTTGCTACAGTGGTCCATGCGAACTCCTCTAGGTTGGTCTTCTGCTTCATGAAACCGAAGACTATTGACAATCCTACTTCAAACATATGTAACTTTAAGTACTAGCAATCCTACATTTTAATTTACACATACCGCTCTTAATACTTTAAATGTGTAAGCGTGCAAGTTGCATTACAAAGTCTTTCTAAGATTTTAAATGCATATAAATTTACATGCAAATGACTAAATCAAATTTGTTTCTTGAATTAGAAACTGAGTAGCCTTCCCAAGACTTGACAACTAGACAAGCTCCTCATTATGGTTGCTTAGGCACCTTGTTCTTTTGTAAATAATCAATAAAATGTAGATTTGTTATGTTTAAAGTTTGTGTGAATTTCAACTCAAGTTTAATGCAATTTAACTTGCAAGTAACTTTTTACCTCAAAACCTTATATACTTCAAATTGAAGTTGATTAATGGGGAAAATAGAAATGAATGCCTCAAAACCTAGCAACTACCTACAAAGTCAGCTTCTTTTGTTTCGTCTATGAAAATTTGATAGTTTATGCTTTAAAATAGCTGATTATTGTTGCATCAGTGCTACTTTAGCAAGTATATTTTTTATGCTTTCCTGACTTTTTAATGTACAACTTAGTGGTAAACTCTGCAAGGCATTGTATCCTATAAGTTTGACTCTTGGAGTAGGGAGTTCTGCAAGTTCGAGAATAACAACCGTATTTGGAGGAAATTAGTTTACTATGATGTACCTTCCTTCAATTTGAGTTTTTTGCCATTTCAGAAGACCGAGACTTTCATAATTATTTAAGTCTGGAGAAATATATCAGCACAATTAAATAAGGCGGTTATCATGACAAAATATGTGATTACTGAAACTACAATTTCTCACTCATCCTGTATTCCAATTTTAATTTTTATTTGAAGTTTTTGAAATCAACTGAAAGAGGCTAGTATCAGTTTTGCTATTTTTTTATTCAATCGTTAATTGCTAGCTTTCACATTATTATTTAAATTAGTTAATGTTAAAATATGAAGTGTGGATGACCTTTCTGTTGTCTTAATCTTTTGGTTTAGACTTTCAGATGACTATTCTCGTTCATTTGTATCCTCAGATTGGTTTTTTTTTTTTTTTTGTGTTTAGACTAAAAATTATTATTATCTTCATGTTTTGTCATTTAGACAGTTATTTAATTTTGAAATTTTTTTATTTTATTTATTAAAATAGCTTCATTGGTTTGTTGTGTATTCTCCGAAATGTTTCAGGTTGTCTCCCCTGAGTTTACCTTTTATGATAGTTCGAAGTTGGACTTAGATAATCCCTTGCTTCTTGAGAAGCTTTTACGGGCAAGAATGGACTTGAGATTCATGTAAGTTTTGTCTACGACTTTTAAAAATGTATTTTTGAATTTAACAAACTTATGGGCTTCCATTTTTTTCTAGTTCTATGCTGTTGGATTTATCCTATGATGGTGAAATTGCAATATCATGAGCCTATTCCTTTGTTATCCCTGTTTTACTGGATAGGTATGCTTCTAAAGAAAATGACACTTGGGCTCGTGCTCTTGTGAAAGATTTTACCATTGAAGCTGGATCTGGCCTTGTTATTCTTGAGCCGATGGATGTCTCGGGAGGATATACTTCTGTCAAGGACAAGACGAGTATATCAATGTTGTCTAGTGATATAAAGATCCATTTATCACTTAGCGTTGCCTCACTTTTACTTAAGCTGCAAAATCAGGCTTGTAAAGCATTACAATGTGGCAAAGCTAACCCCTTGGTCTCTTGTACAAACTTCAAACGAATCTGGGTATCACCAAAAGGTTATGCATAACTCTATGAAACCCAGTTTTTTTTTTTTTTTTGCTTTATTTAGGCATGCCATTTGAGTTCGGTTCATTCTTTTTATTTTATTTTATTTTATTATTATTTTTTTTGTTTTGGTTGAGGGCATGGTTTTTGTGGAGTAAATACTTAACTGCTATATTTTCAGGTAGCTTGCCCGGATACAACCTGACATTTTGGAGGCCACAAGCTCCTTCAAACTATGCTATTTTAGGCGACTGTGTTACATCAAGGTAATGGGGAAAGCTTCTTGTATTGGTCTGGTATCATTCAGATTCATTTTTTTTTTAGTTGTTAAAATGAATTATGGAGCAACTTCAGCACTAAACGGCTTCTGATGTTAAGATACAAGTAAAAGACCATATATTAAATGCTGATAGTATGCTCCTAACTTGACTTTGTGATATATCCTACAAAGCAATGTGGAAACTCTTTTTTGATGTTTGAGAAAAATTACCCTCAACATCATCCAAATCTTAACGTACCGCTAACACTGCAATGAGCTTGGCTTGTAAATACATGGACAGATAAGCATGCATGCTACTAACTTCATTATATGGCCAATGAATCAGTATCAGAGTCCTACTCTGCTGAGGTCCCATAAAGAGCAAAAATTTGCCATGCACGAGAAAATAATGTTTTGGTGGGAGTTTGCGTATGCGCTTGTTTTCTATTTTACACACTAAAACTATTTTCACTCCAACTTTGATGAATCCATCACCAGTGAGAACATACATGCAAGTGAACTTATGGATGAAAATAAACATCATAATACATTGAATAGTGTAATTTTGAACTAGTAAATTTCTTAATGAAATTTTTACTTGAACATGTTCACATCTTAAAGTGTGCAAAATGTCTTTTATATGTATACATAATGTATATTAAACCACTTTTAAAAGGGTTGTAGTTCACATTTGAGCCAAGCTCTCATCTATGTTTCCTAATAACTTTTTGTCACCACTCATTGGACTTACTATGAAATCCAAAATGAAACATTCGGTATTTTCTGTAGAACATAAAGAAAAGAAAATACAAATGAAGCAATAAAAATCAAAGAAATAAATTAAAGTCTTCTAATTACAAAAATGCAAAATATCCCCTAAAGAAGAGAGAAATATACCAATGTGCAGTCCATAAATGAATAAGTATTACAAAAATTCTAGTACGCTTTCGAAAATATTAGGATTGTTCTAATACCCATGTTTATTGCCTTGGAGCTTTTTAGGATTGTATTGAAGTGTGTTCCTATTTTTCACATATTGAAATTCTTTGGAATATCAAAATATCTAGAAAAAAAATAAACAAATGAATATAAATATTGGGATATAATATGGCATCCTCTAGGCTTGATCCTTTATTTAGTAAAGATGGAATTGATAGGGCATGTATACTTTTTTTTCCAAATTGAAGGAGAATATTTACAAATATCTCCTCCATAGTTAGATGTCTTTTTCAATAATGGATTGGGGACCAATAATTCAATTAAGATATCAACAAAGTTTTTGGCAATATATTTATAGAACTTCAAGTCTTTCATGTCTAAAATTGATTCAATAAGAAAACATTTTGGGATGTTTTGCTCATAGGGTGATGCCAGAGTTAACTCAAACCATAACAGGAAAACTAATAATTTTATTAAAACGAGAAAATACAATAACACAACACAAGCAAACTACACTAAAGTGTATCCCAAATGTAGTGGAGGTCAGCTAGGTGGACCAGGATGGTTGGTTGGTCTAGCGACAACAAAGGAATGTTGGTGGCGGCAGTGGGAGATGTGAAAATGCAGGGATAGCATGTATGGTTGCTACCTTGGATGGTGACAGCGAGAGTTGGGGCGGGTAGTGGTGGAATGGTAGAAGGAGGTTTTTCGTAGCTATCCTAGACTGCATCGACATGGTGGGAGGGCTGGAGCTGTAAGAACAAGGGACAGTTTGGGCGGCAAGAATGTCGGAAGGGAGGGGGAGGTGGCTAGGAGGCTAGAGGCTCCAGGAAAACGGGAAGGTGAAGGGGTTTTTGGGTGGCTTCAACGGTATCGGATGGTTGGACAACGACGACATCAATTTTGGTGGGTTGGACTGTTGGGGTAGCGAAGTGGGGGGAGGAGAAGGCAAATGACGATTGCTAGAACTGCAAAAACAGTAACTAGAATGTTGTTTTGGGTAGCTGCAGCAATGAAGAACAGTCAAGAGCGATGTGGGGAGGATGCGGAAAGGGATTGGGAAGATACATCCCACCTAGGGACTAAGAAACAACCGGAGCATCGCCTAAAATCATAGGATACAGTTCTCAAAGGGAAGAAGAGATATAGGTAGTTGTCCTAATACAAAATACCAAAAAATGACTTTTAAACTCTAATATAACACATGTATAGGAAATGACTAAAAACAATGAGGGATAATATGAAAGAAAGCATAAGAAAAAAAAGGGATAATTTCGGTCCGTCTCTCCTTATAGTTATTTCTGCGATATTGTAGCATCCTCAATGCTGCGAAAATTTATGCGATAAGCTCCTGCACTGTAGGGAAGGTTCATAAGTGATTTGGGCCAGGATTTAAAATTGATTTAGAAACCGACGGTCGAACAGCAGAATTATATTTTCTATATTTTTAATTCTATCACTAAATGTTTAATATAAAAAAATAATTAAACGAGCCACTAATGGAAACATTTTAATTAACAAATAAAAATTGTCTTTCTAGTTGTTGTTTTTGTCTTTTGTATTCATTAGCTTCTCTAGTATTCATCTTATTTAGAAGCTTAAATCTGAATAAATACTAAGACAACATAATGAGTTATCTAAAAATTACCCAAGAGTAATTATACTTCTAAACTACAGTAACTCAAGCAAAAAAAATATATGTTTGTTGGTCTTTCATATTACTATAAAAAATCTTAAAATAATATAATATATTTGTTCATGTCATTTACTTAATGGAATAAACTTATACTTCGATATATACTGACTTTAAGTTTACTCTTACATGTTTAATCTTCAACTTTACTTTTATTTCATACATTTAACTTTCGCATTCATCTTAAGAACACCATCAAAAAATAACCTAAAACACTCATGAACGGTAATATCATACCAACACAGTAGTTCATGATCTAAATTAAACATTTTTATGAGGTGAAAAGGTGTCTACTTTTTCATAGTTAATATTCTCTTGTTGACACAATAGTTAATAATCTAAATATTCGAATTGTTTGGGTTGATATAAAAACATGTGTGTAGGCACACTAGCATTCCATGTATGTATACTAAGAGGTGAATTCTTCCTTTTAATATTCACATATAATCTAAATATTTATGTGCACGGGTATACTAGCGTCCCATGTATGTATCATAAGGGGTGAACTATTCTTTTTAGTATGTTTATACAAGCACTCATATATATACTATTTCATCCTTCCTATCATACATTTTTTTATTATGAAACACTTTAACTATATTTACTGATGAATAAATGGATTCTTAGTAATTTTGTAGATCATGAAATAAACTGATATATGCACTTTTTTTAAAACTCTAAAGGTCAAGAAATAATATGACATGTAATTTCTCATGCAATAAACTAATATATATATATCTCTACAAGAACATGAGGGTCATGCAATAATTTGATATTTTTCTAAAATAAGTTGTCATGCAATTATTAAATTAATTGTATTTGATATGCATATCTCATGACTAGCAATATGAAAAATTTTATGTGATTAAATTTCATTGATATAAGACATAATAGTGAAAAGCTTAAGCGGGAATGTATTAAAAATAAGGTATATTACTGTAACTTAAAGCATAATTACTCACTTTAATTCTTAACGATTTTCTTGTTCTCAACTTCTATTATCTCATTCAAGTTAGCATCTATACTATAAAATATCGCAATTAAAAAATTTATCTCATATTGCTTAAATTATTACTTTAGTTAATTATTGTTTAATTTCCTCAGTTTACATATGAGTTTAAATTCTTAAATTACTACAAAGATTAAATAACAATAATTTAAACAAATTACTTTTGAAAGTATAACTCTAACCTTAACTGTTTTAATACTCCTCAATCAACAATCTGAAGATTGCTCCACCTTGATTTTCTAACATTAAGTGACATGAATCTAATTTACTACTTAATAATTGTATTAATATAATTATATCTTAAAAAAATAATTTAACTAGTTAAATAAAATTTTCCTTAAATTTGGCTCCCCCCTCTTCTTCTCATGGACGACACAAGCTGTCTCCCTTCACCTGAATGTAGCTCGCTCTATGTCTACTCTGCTCAAAGCTTCAAATAGAAATCACTCCCCTCCACACGAAGTTGTTTAAACCCGAATTCTCCCCTTTTATTCTTTTCCTTAATTGCGCACGAGGCTCGCTCAAACTCACACCAGAAAGCTCAATGAAGTTCTTCCCCTTCTCTTTATTCCTCGGCTAGAGCACAGCCTTTCAATGTATTTCCTCTTGAAAGCGAAGCCGCTTCTTCATTCGGTGAGGGTTGGTTATAACCCACTTGGAAATCGTTGAGGCTGCTTCGTCATCTTCGCCTGGGCGATGATGTCTCCTCTCTAGGCTTCATTTCTCACAGGCGAGTCTTCTTCTTGTATCATTGGTTCTTCTTTTTCTTCTTCTCTCCCTCTCTATTTCTTCTCGTTCAATTCAAAAGAGATGTTCGACTTTTAAAAAGTGGGAATTGTTGTTGATGGATACTTCACTTCGAAACAACTCGAGAAATTTATATTTTATTTATTTATTTAGTTTTAAACACAATTATTACAGAGACAATTTTAGAATTCTTTGTTAATGGTGTTATAAGCCTCGTCAAGTAATTTGATTTGACAAGGACCCTAACATATTCACCATCATACTAAAAATTAAACTAAACTTACAAGTAGATTGCACTACACATAAGATGGGATTCTCACGCTTGGGGTGTCCATTTTTCAAGTTGAATTCCCCACTTTAAGGACCGATCTACATATATGGGTATATAGGATCTATAGCTTAATGATATATTGTCACACCCCAACTGGCCCCCTTTTAAACTTCGGCTGATGTGCGACAAAAGCTTGCAATTTGGTCGGACTAAATTCTCGCTAGCATTAGTCCTGACTTGTATAATCAGGACCTAGTGGGTGATGATTAATCTAACTAGATCGCCGCAACTTACATGATACATTGCATTTCAGAATTCATCAAGATACTTATAAGAAAGCATGGAAATCATATCATTCAAAACATGAAAACTATTTAGAGTTGTTAAATCCAATATAATAAAAATAGGTTCCCAAAACATATGTATAAGCCCTCAAAACAACTGTGCAAAAATTGTACATAGACACACATGGCTACTCGCCTCCGTGCTCATTGTTTTCATTAATAATTTTTAATTGCTTCTATACTCCAAAAGGCACTTATTTTATTGAAGACAATTGTTTAAATATGTTAAAAAGGTTCGAGGTTAATAATGCAAGATGTAATTTCCACATTACATATTTACAAAATGAATCATAATTATAGAACTAATCGGACACTGTTTTTTTTAAGAACCAAATGACAGTGATAGCCCTACATTGTTTTCCCAATCCAGAAATCCTTATCTTTAAAGTGATAAGGGGGGTGTCCATGAGTCAAAACTAAAACATCGACCTTTCTAAAGGAAGAAGTAAATTATACTCTCATAAAAGAATTTAGTGGATTTTGTTTAAGGCATTACTAGTGATCATGCTATTATGCGTAATGAGCAATTTGTACAAAAAACATATGATGGTTTGGCAATAATAATAATGATAAAATAACATCAATTTGAGCAACTAGTTTGAGGGTGATACATAGTAACAATCCTATATTTAATATCAAATGTTGTTGCTATAGTCACAAATATTATATTACAAATGTGGCTCCCTCCATGACTAGTTATTACCCTAAGCATTCTAGATCTTATGAAAATGTTTTTCTTAAGAAATTTAATCACAACGTGTCACTCAATTCATTTTGAAACATAGTCCATTGCTATAGAAATCTATTGATTTCTCTTTGATGAAATAAAAGGACCCATAAAATCTAACCCCAACACAAAAAAAAAAATAAAAAAAAAAATAAAAATAAAAAAATTCAACTTTTAAAATATAATTCATAGGCACTTTATTATTCTTATTGTTATTGACTACTCTTTAACACTTATCATATCTTTTAATATATTAATTAACATTTTTAAAATAATATGCTAATAAATTTAAATTATCAAATTTTTTAAGCAGTTCTAAAACTTTCAAAATGTTCTTTATATTTAGAGTAATGACACAGCCTAATTATTTTATCTACCTTCTCAAAGGAGACATCTCCTAATAATTAAGTACTTATACTTCATAAATAAATATGATTCATTCTAAAAATAAAATTTAGCATCTTGTCTAAAATTCTTTAATTATATGACTAATCATATGGTAAAATATCACTTCTAATGAAATTCACATTGTCAATATATCAAAAAAATAGTTTGATCAGCCAATGCGAACATTTGTTCATCAGAAAAAAAAATATATTAATGTCATTTTCATTAGGCATAAGTTTTTCCTGATTTAATATGGAGAAGTAATCAGACACTTGATTTTCAATACCCCCTTTTTTTTATTTCTGTATCGATTTCTTGTAACAACAAAATTCATCTAATAAGTCATGGTTTAACTTCTTTTTTTCTTACAAGTTATTTGATAGCATAATGATTAGTATTAATAGTAACTTTGGTACCTATCAAGTAGGATCTAAACTTATTAAATGAAAATACTTTAAGCCATCATGCTTTCATTAGCTCACCTTCCATGCTGGGGAATTAGTAATTCGAATAAACTACCTATATATACTAAAAATAATATTTTGCAAGTGGCATCATAATTGAATTTTGTGATTTTCAATACCAGAAAAAGCAACATTTATTTATGGCAATTTATTATTACTTTTAATATAATTTATTATTGCCATTGGTGTTGTACTCATCTAATGCTAAAATCTCTTTTGTAGGCCTGTGCCACCTACCCAGGTTGTAGTAGCAGTAAGTAATGCTTATGGCCGTGTTCGGAAGCCATTGGGCTTCAAGCTTGTTGGTTTGTTCTCCAACTTTGGAGAATTGGATGGAGGGGGCCAATCTGATAGCCGTGGTGAGTGTTCCATCTGGATGCCAATACCTCCTTCAGGCTACACTGCTGTTGGATGTGTAGCACATGTTGGAAGCCAGCCACCTCCTAATCATGTTATCCATTGCCTTCGATCTGATCTAGTAACATCTACCGCATATTCAGATTGCATATTTTATGTCCCACCACAACCAAGGTACATGGTAGTCAATTAGCACATTTATTTAAGCTGTTCATTTTTGAAGTTATCTAACTTCAATTTCATTTATCATCATAGGGCTTTGTCTGGATTTAGCATATGGCATGTTGATAATGTTCTTGGTTCATTTTATGCACACTCGTCTGTGAATTATCCCCCTATGGATGAAAGTTTTGATTTACACCAAATTATTCTTCGTTACCCCAATTGGCATCTCTCTGTCAATAAGAAATCTCCAACTGTCAGTCATGATCAGCAAACTTCCAACACTAGTAATGCTTCTTCTGGATGGGATATTCTTAAAACAATATCACGGACAAGTTATGTTATGTCTACTCCACATTTTGAAAGGATCTGGTGGGACAAAGGTTCTGATTTACGAAAGCCAGTTTCAATCTGGCGACCAATCCCACATCCCAGTTTTGCTCCCCTTGGTGATTGCATAACAGAGGGGTTCGTATTGAATTTTGGTCACCTACTTAATTTTTTGGTGGATAAGGTATTGACAATCTATTACAAACTTTGTCAGGTTAGAACCACCAGCTCTTGGACTAGTTTTCAAATGCGGGAACTCAATGATTTCTTCCAAGCCTATTCAATTTACTAAAGTTGCTCAAGCTGTTGGCAAAGGGATTGAAGATGCATATTTCTGGTACCCAATTCCTCCTCCAGGCTATGCTTCTTTAGGCTGTGTTGTCACTAAAAATGATGAAGCACCTCGAAAGGAGTCATTTTGTTGTCCAAGAATTGATCTCATTAATCATACAAATATTTTTGAGGAACCCATTTCCAGATCTTCTAGTTCAAAGGGTCCTAACTGCTGGAGTATTTGGAAAGTTAGGAATCAGGTTTAAGAAACTTCTTTTTTATTACATTTTTTTCTTATAATTGAAAATCGTATATCAGCGTCTTAGAAAAATTTCTAGTGTTATCAACATGATGGTCCCAGTCTATTTTAAACTTTCTCCTTTCATCGTGCAGTTTCTGTTTTTTGCTTGCACTCTCTATAATCTTCTTTTTTCAGGCGTACACATTTCTTGCACGATCTGATCTGAAAAAACCATCTTGTCGTCTGGCATATACCATAAGTGACTGTGTGAAGCCTAAAACACGTGAAAACATTAGTGCCGAAATGAAGTTGGGGTGCTTTTCCATCACTATCTTAGATAGCTTCCTTGGAACAGTATGTATTCTTGTAATCTCGTTTCTATGTTTTTTGAATAGAATTGATTGCGTACCTACCATCCTTTTTTAATTGTATTGTGGTGTAGATGACACCAGTAATTGATGCAACTATCACAAATATAAATCTTGCCACACACGGGGGCCTTGAAGCAATGAATGCTGTTCTCATTTGTTCAGTGGCTGCATCAACGTTCAACAAACAGTTGGAATCATGGGAGCCCCTTGTTGAACCCGTTGATGGGATTTTCAAGTTAGATCTTTTCTCTCTTGATAGTAACATAATATATCTATCTTTTAAATCATGTTTGGTACTTGTGAAAATTTAATTTGCTTTGATTTTTGAATTCTTTAAGGTTGGATTTGTGGCATTAATTGGCTATACCTCTTTATTATGTCCCACTAACTTTTATTTTTTGATCTTCTTGAGACTTGAAACTTACGATACCTGCGAACATCCTCTATCAATTGGAAAGAGAATTCGTATTGCTGCAACTAGCTCCCTGAATTTGAATGTCAGTGCAGCCAGCCTTGAGACCATATTTGATACTATTGTTGCGTGGGAGAGACAAAATAAATTGGGCCATGCTTTGTCCAAAAAAGCTGAGGTGACTGTAATATCCAATATATTATATTTGTTCTCGTGATTTATTAGCTGACTAACAAAGCGTCTTTCTAGGTAGCTGGTGAAGTTTCAAAAAACTTTCTTCCATCATTTTCAGCGTTGCATGAAGATGATTTACAAAAAGTGATCATTGAAAATAAGCTAGGATGTGACATTTACCTAAGGAAAATAGAAGAAAACTCAGAATATACTGAATTGTTACAGAATAATTACCACACATCATTGTTGCTGCCACCTCCACAATACTTTGATAGATTGAATTTAGCAACCAAATCTCCAGACACACGCTATTATGTCACCGTACAAGTTTTTGAGTCCAAGGTGCCTATAATATCTGTACTATTGGTAGGTACATACTTTAGTTCTTGTGCTGATATTGGAAATCTGTTTGATGTTGCTTCAGGGCTTCCCCATCGTTAATGATGGAAATAAGCAGGACTACTTTTGTGCGCTGCGGCTTTTGATTGACAGCAAGCTATCAGATCAATATAAGCTTTTTCCACAGAGTGCAAGGACACGATGTGTAAAACCTTTGGTTTCAAAGGTAAATGGTATGGCTGTGGGCTATGCTAAGTGGAATGAGGTTTTCATATTTGAAGTTCCTGAGAAGGTTGGTTTAAAGAAACACTTTACAGTTATCTCCTAGAGTTCAATTGTTTGCACCATTCTTCTAATATATAATCTATATCATATTATTTTTGGGCCCATGATTTTTTGCACGAGGAACTTCAGGCTTTTACAAAGTACTGCTTTGTAATATTTGACAAATGTAATAATTGATAGCCTACAATAGTTTTTTGAATAAAGTTTCGTCTAGATACCTAACTGAATTTACTGTAAAACTCTATGATTCTCTTGGTATGTTTATTTTTTTATGTGATACAATTGTTTTTTTATTTAGGATAAAGATTCTTCAAGGCCTAAATATTCTCTCTTTGTATGTTTCTTGTAATGTAATTCCTTTTTCTTGTGCTGCCATATGCTTTTAACCAAGTCAAACAAGTTTACTTTATCTGTATGCTGTTGAATTGCTTCCAAAATATCCATATAATTTATCTGGCTGAATACTTTTGACAAAAAACAGTATGATATGCATGAGTTTGGTTCTATATATATGGTTGGAAGCAGGCTGACAGTTTTAGTTTTCTAGGAAGATTTTTATGGATCGGATTTAGCGTGAATGTGGTTGTGAAATAGCAAGGGAGACATTATGCGAGGTCAACGGAGTTCTGGACGGGAGTTGGGGACATTTGGCTATTATCCGGATTGAAAGCAGTAAAGATAACCAAGAAACAATGATCTCGACTAGGCACCTGTTGCTGACCTCATTTTTGGTGAGATCTCTTACTCTTCTTATAGCCTAGGATTTAGCCTTAGAGTTTCCTACCGACTCTCTTTGAAGACTAGTCTGGGACCCGCACCAACTAGAAATTCGAGCCACTTCTTGACTCCTTGCAGTTTCATATTACTGGTTCTAAATCCTCAACGTTTAGTTGAGTAAATTAAAACCAGCGTGCGAAGCTCGAGTCAAGTACCCATAGGATTTAAAGCCTTAGGAAACCCTTCGTGTCATCCGCGAACTCACAATACATGAATATCACAATTCGCGCACTCGATGCACACAATTATCAAAATTCACGTCACCTGCACTTGTAGAAGGCTTTGCAATTGATCAAACTCGAATCAATTGCTGGAAGGGTCGATCACGAGCGATAAATTTAAAGAAGTTTAAATTTAATGTGTTTTTGACCCGATCGTAGACGAAGTTGTTCAGGTGACCCCGGAAGACGAAGTGGACCGCACTGGTGCGTCCGGAACGTCGAATTAGCTAGGGAGGCACCCATTTTGATGCGACCTCGTGCACGAGCGAAAGTGCACGAATCGGGAAAATTTGAATATCTTATATATAACTAATATATATATATATATATATATATATTAAAAAAAATAGAGCTATCTATTGCTCCTTACATGTTAAACATACAATTGAGTTACAAAACATAAGGGTTAGATCACTAAACCTACACCCAGATCACTTACCCCATATAGTTCTTACAACCACGCTCACAAAATGTAAGAAAGAAATCTAAGTAAAACCTTGTATATACTCGCCTGAAAATAATCAATCTCTACAATGAAGATAAGGAATGGATAAGGTGTCCCCATGTAGTAGGAGAGCTAACTGATTAGGAGGTATAATCCCTACAGCAATCTCTTCAGTTTCCTTCCCCCTGATTGCCAAACTGTGTGCTGGAGTGTTTCCTTCTCTAAGAATGTGTTGGAAATGCACATCAACCTTAATCAA